ACATTGCATTTAAAATTTTGCAGATTAAATATATAACAAAAGTCTAGAAAGTCTTTCCATGGAGCCCGAAGAGAGTTCCACAAAGGCCCAACGAAAGAGAGTTCCACAAGCGAGAGGAGTGAATGAAGAAAACGTTTAGCATAGAACTTTAGGCAAGCTCAACTGAAAATTGATGAGATCTCGTCGCCAGTGTAGTAGTGCGCTTAAACTCAAAAAGTCTAGTTAAAAGGCCAAATGGGGAATGGGGAAAAGGACAGTCTTCATCTTCCTTAACTTTAAACTTAGCTAGCCACAAACACTGACCCAAACATACAACAATATTCCTAACACCAAAACAACACATTCTTACTTAACCTTTATTTACTACATCCACCAGAATACCTCATTGTCTCTATGAAAATCCTAACTAGACCCCATGTACAATTCATTGTCTGTCGGGAGAGGGGAATAAAACAACAAATTTAAAAATCTAATCCCAATAAATATTTACAAAATGTAAAAAGCTAGAAACCAAACAAAATAATGTTAGTAATAACCCCCCCCCACTCACCCAATTCTTAAATGTGGCAGAAACATCAGTGAACTGGACGAAATCAAAGCGGGACTTTAATAATATCAGACATTCATCCATCCCAAGCATTCACTCAAACACACACACTCATACAGACAACAAAGAAATACGAAAATCATACCCGAAACGAAAGGCGCCCGCATCCACCAGAGAACTGACATCACTGACCACCTAACGAGGGAGGGGATGGGGAATTAAACCAAAGACAAAGGAGACAGAAATAAAAGGGGCCAATGAGCATACATCTCCTAGCTGAGTTAACTTGAATGAAGAAACTAAACACACAAACAACTCTAAACTTGCCTAATTTCGGACGGGGTTGCCTAACTTCAATACAGGGAGAACAATATCCTGATGCCTAACCGGCGTCAAAGTGCCACTCCAAGTCAGCTCCTTTCACTCGACACAAACGCGCAAGATTCACCCACCTTTTGCCAAATTCCGGTGAAGAGAGCCGCCGCTTTTCCGTCCTAATCTTGACTTTAAGCTAATGCTTAAAGTACAAGATTAGTTGGGAAGAAGTGAACTTTTCGCCTCCATAGAATCCCTTTTGACGTGTCGTCCAAATCACGACTCTCATAATCCCTAAGCAGGCAAAAGAACACAGTGTTCAGCCTACGTCAACGGCTGAACCACATTGCTACAAACAAAACAGGCCTCGAGGACGAAGACCATTCCGCGCAGTATGCGAACCATGAAGCCTTCAACAAACTTGCTCAACGGCACTACGACCCTGCAATGAAAGAAGGCGTGACCCAGGGTCTCGACGTCTCCATCACAGCGAACGCAGTTTGGAAATTTCTCCAAGCCCACTGAACAAAATCTTTTGGCGAACCAGAGGGCCCCATGAATCACCAGCTAGGTGAGTGATGCCTCATCGTTATTGAACCCGGGCGCCCAAGGCCATAGTGAGCGACCCTCCTGCTTCGTAAGACCGAGCTCGTCAATCAGCTCATCACGAACGGACCCGCGAACTAACACATGATGTACCATAGCTAAGCGCTCATTCGAACAATTGCCATGAAAGTATTTATAAAAAATACGCAAAAAGTGACTGAACTCGAACTACCAGATCAGGACCAATAATATTGCTGATTCTACTTTAGATTTTATCCAGGAGTTCAAGGTAAATAGCAGGGTCCCCGGACCATATGTGGCAACAATATTCTAAGTATGGACGAATGGTAGACTTATAGATATGTATGATAGATTCTGTAGAGAAAAATTGTCTAGCACGACGCAGTGAACCGACTTTCTTAGCAAGCTGACCTAGTAATCTTTCCACCCGATGAGACCCGAGAATGTTAGCAGGTAATCACTCTCCTGGAGATTAGCATCAGCCATACTGATGGGAGGCAGGAAAGGGTCTCTCAGATGATGATGATGATTTGCTTAAAGAATATTCCATATCACTTAAGGATCACTATTTTTATTTATCTTTGTGTTGTTTCACTGTTTTTTCACTGAACCAGATTTGTTTCAACCGATGAGTAGTCCGCTAAACCATTTGTCTGTTGAATAATCCATTGGAAGATTTTCATCGATTTATACCTTTAAATTGAGAATAGTATTTTTAAACCATTTGTCTGTTGAATAATCCAATGGAAGAATTTCATCAAATCGGGAACAATTCAACGTTTGATTTTTTTTTTTCATGAAGGAGCTCATAATACACAATGCCACTGATATACAGTATCACCTTCTTCGGATGCAAACCGGCTTTTGGAAGAGCTTAACGGTAGTTCATTTCGTTTTCTCCAGGAATGTTTCGCTCAACATTGTTGTAAACAATCCATTTTTCATCGCCTTTGATCGTTCATTTAAAAAAATGGCTATTTTTTTTTTTGCTGCATTTCAGCAGAGAATCGCAAATGGAAATGCAGTCCATTAATTTTTTTCTGCTAAATCGTGAAGCGTCCGGACATCGAAGGGATTCACGTATCTGTTTTCAAATGCTTTACAACGAGCATGTAGAGTATCTCTGCGATGTCCCATGTCATCTAACCTGGATTTTTTTTCTTTATTGTTTCGATTTGGTCATTATCAAAAACTGAAGGCCTGTCGGATCGTTCTCGGTCTTACAGATCACAATTCCCACTAGTGAATCCCTTACTAACAGCTATCTCAGCTATGGCACCATCTCTATAAATGGCACATGCTTTTTTGCTGATTTTACTTGTCTACTTTTTTTTTTCTTTCCGAGATTAAAATAGTATTAGATGACTAAAATGAATTTTATTTTCCTTCATTTTCACTTTTGACGTAAAACTATTTACAATTCACATCCCATGATCCTGTTGCTTGTCGGGATATCATGATGAGTGCTTCATGATATTTCTCAGGATAATAGAAGATATTCATTTTCTCTTGGTTGGCGCCTGGCGGTGGTACAATAATTAGTTGATTATGTTATTTTATTTCTGCTGAGCCAGTGTTTCATTACCTGAGCCAGGGATTGAACTCACAGCCAAAAGATGACAGTAATACATGTTTCGTTTACAATCTTGTAATAACTGAACAAGGATGAGGATATTAGTATGAATAACTATTTTGAGAATAGATGAAGATACTTGTCTAAATACATTATGGTTTGATTATTCTTACTATTTACTTTATTTTAAACTGTTATTGTCATCTTGGTGGTTATAAATGCTATTATAAGACACGTTTCGACCAAGTACCCTCTGGCCATCATCCATTGTTTAGTTGATACGGGATAATTTGTTGATTGTGTTATTTTAATGCTACTGAGCCAGTGTTTCATTACCCGAGCCAGGGATTGAGCCCACAACCACTAGATGACAGTAATGCATGTTTAACCCACTCCTATATCTAAAAGTATGTTGTGTTTTTGGAGCTTTTTTTAATTCAATGTCAAAATGGCTTTGATATTTACTTATGAGACTGAATCCATAAAAATCTGTCTGAATAAATTATACACATATATTTTTACATTATTTACATTATTCGGACTATTATCCTCATCTTTGTCGCCATATTTATTACAGCGTTTCGGCCGTTGTACGCTCCGGCCTTCTTCAGGTGGTTGGAATGTCGAACTGAACCCTTTATTTCGCTCACTGGGGTAGACTGTTCTAGTTCCACGTACCATGTTTAATGGATGTCAGTTATCTCCTATTAATTTTCTCCACTGCCTTAACCGGGTATTGAACTCACACTGATTGTGAGTTCAATACTAAATTTAAAACTAAATAATTGGTACAAGTTAATGTATTTATTGCAAACAAAAAACGCATACATCAAACAAATTTTATTATTCTGATGTTTTTTTTACAATTGTTAATATTTTCCATTTCTTAATAATTTTAAAACCATATGGCAATTAAACTAAAGCTACATCCGTAGTAGTAGTAGTAGTAGTAGTAGTAGTAGACATTGCCAACAATAGTTGCCTACATCCTGTGAACTTTCAAATACAATAGAACCCATTTTATTTCTATAGTACCCTTTCCTATCAATTTTGCTAAAGGAAGCAAACACAAATATGGCCAAAGATTTTATGCACTAAGATTATATTTCATACATTGGAATATTGACACCAGGTGCTTGATGTTTATCACTAATGAATGACAGTAATTCTCCTTGTATCTCCAGCACCTTCCTCAGTATCCCTGCTATTTCCATGACAAAAGAGTTTTACCAGTTCACACTACATCTGGAATGCGTCATGCCACTTACACAGAGTCAAATCATCTACATTTCCTTCATGTTCCAAATATAAGAAGACAGTTTTATTCAGAGAGCATTTCTTCAAGAATTGTCACTTTATGAGACAAACTCCCATGTAGTTGCTTCCTTGAGCACCTGACCTTTGACCTCTTCAAATCAAGGGCCAGTCATCATTTTTACTCCTCATTCTCATAATCTTTCATATCATTTTCTCTTTCCTTCATGTCATAGACTTTACTCGGCATTACTATTTTATTAACTGTAATCCTCTGCCTTGAGTGACTCTCTAATCTTATATTAAGTGAACTTTAGTATAAAATAAAACCTTAACAGTTTCGTATCATTTGTTCAATCTGATTAATCATTAATATCTAGTAGTGAATTTGATCATCATTAAGTGACCTATACGTATGGCCTTGTCTCAAACTAAACTAAAAAAAAATAAATAAATGGCACAAGTTTACAATACCTGGTATATATCCCAGGCAGTCACCCATCTACGTAATGACCAGGCTCGACGTTGCCTAACTTCGGTGATCGTACAGGAAGCAATGTTTAAACGTGATGTGGCCGTAAGCTTTTTCTACCCACGCATCTAAGCTTACAACATCTGGTATATACCAGGCGGTTACCCATTTACGTAATGACCAGGCTCGACGTTGCTTAACTTCGGTGATTGTACAGGAAGCGATGTTTAAACGTGATGTGGCCGTATGCCTTTTCTACCCGCTCAGCCAAGCTTACAGCACCTGGTATATACCAGGCGGTCACCCATCTAAGTAATAACCTAGCTTGACGTTGCTTAACTTCAGTGATTGCAGAGGGACCAGTGTTTCAACGTGATGTGGCTGCAAGCCTTTTCTACCCGTACATCCAAGCTTACGGCACCTGCTATTCCTAGGCGGTCACCTATCTGCGTAATGACCAGGCTCGGTGTTGCTTAACTTCTGTGATCTTACTTGGACTGGTGTTTCAACATGTTGTGGCCGCAAACCAGCCTAAGAGAAAGCAAGAAGTGCATTTTATGAGGATATGTAGGATAGATAACAGTTAACCCTAGACTTGAAGAGGTTAAGATTGTTGTGATTGTGAAAACATCCTGTCAAGAGCCTGTTCCACAAAGTAGCAGTTCTTGGGAAGAAGCTATCCGAAAGGTACTTTTTTTTTACTAATGAAATACGAAGGGAATGAGGATGATTTATCCCTGTGTATGTGGCATGGTGTGTCCCAAATAATGTTTTTGGTCAGTTATACGCAAACTATGACCAGTGGTCCACACGCGGTCCAATAATCGGCTTTCTCAAGGGAACGTCTAATTTAATGAGGAACATAACGTTTATTAAAATATCGTTTATTTCTTTTCGTTCTCACTTGTTCACTCACACTTTCTCTCATGCATAACCAAATACATAAACAGTGATTAAGTACAATGTTTCTTTAATTTTGTAACTTTTCGTTGAAGGTAACGTTATCAGCATTTTAAACCGTTGTCGATTTTCACTAAGGAAGATCATAAGTGTCAAAATCTTTTGCTTCGGTAACAGGAAACGTTAATGATAATTATTTTTGTCGAGAGAATAAATATACCTCTTTTAAAATATTTTTGTATAGTCTAATGAAAAAATTAGATCAAATCACACACAGCAGTGTGTGTTAATCATTCTGTCATCAGTGATAATTTTATACAAAGACTACAGTTTTTTCTTTTTATTATAGAAGTCCAGTTATCCAGTGATACATAACTGGATTCTGCATGTCTCCTTCCATATGTGTCGCAGAGGAACGTCATGAAATCAAATGTGTGGGTCACTTCCTAGCAAATTGAGGTCCACCTTAAAGAAAATCATGCCATCGTCGCTTTCTTCTATTCTGATTTTCTTTCACTTTTAACCAACTCTTGCAAAGCCAATCGGAAATAGAAAATGAAAGACGGGAGCCGGTTTTGATGAAAATGGATGCTTCTAGGTCTGGCGATAGATGTAGTCATCAACGCCATCATCATAAAGGAAGCAGTCAGCATAGAAGAAATTAAATTCTTGGATACAAGATAAAACCGACGACAACGATGAGAAGGAATCTTTTCATTCAAAGAAAAAGAAAATCGACTTTTCCCCCATTTCTAAGATGGGTGCTTATGCGCATGCTCTTTTGTTGGGAAAATGGCTGCTGTAACTTTAACGAAAAATGACTCTTTTCTTCTTTTTTTTTTTTTTTTAGCGAAAAATGGTTGTCTATGCCTGTTTTAGACTTTTAAGTTATCATGGTTTTATGCTGATGAGCAAACATTTCGGTGTTATGTGCTAATATTAGTTTGATTTTTAACTTAAGTGGCTTTGGGTGTGATTATTTGTCAGATCAACTTAACAGTGATAATCCGTTATATCAAAATATTTAAGAGAAACACAACTGAGAAACTAATAATAATTATCATTATTGTTATTGTTGTTGTTGTTGTTAATAGCAGAACTAGTACAACACCACCAGGCCACCACATAATCTCTTTGTTGGCTAAGGTCGACGTATATTTCCAAGCGGTGATCAGAGTCGTTATTTTAAGAGATAATTAAAAAGCCAGAATTTCGATTGCTAGTATGTAAGATAGATAAGCCTTAAATATTTACAAAAACTGGAGCAGTACAATCTTCCTACCTGCCATTTGACTCCAGATAGGACTAAACTAAATTTGGTACACATTTAGGAACCTCTTCATGGAGTTTAGCCATCACGTCTCACCAACAATTCTGCTCCAGTGAGATCGATCTTCATTGTGTGCCCAATACTTGTGTCCTTATGCCATACTTAGATGAAATTAATAAATATTTAAGCTCTTCTCTATGGAATCATGGCCACACTGTTAATCGCGCAATGACTACTACGGTAGTGAGTACGATTTTCATGGGCGCTCAATAGTTGGGATCTTATACAAGACATAACCATTAAAAATAAAAGTTAAACTGGTCATTTAACAACCATTATTTCGGTAGTGAGTTCGATCTTTAGGGGCGCCTAATACTTGTGGCCTTGTGCCAGATACATCTTCAGTAAATAATGCCTAAACCGATCATTTTGCAATCCTTACTACGGTAGTGAGTTCGATTTTCATGGGCGCCCAATACTTCTGAACTTGTGCCATACACACTTCATTAAATAATACTTAATCCGATCATCTCACAATCATTCCTATGGTTGTGTGTTTAATCTTGATGGGCGCCCAATACTTGTGGCCTTGTGCCATACACACTTCATTAAATAAAAGCTAAACTGATCAGCTTGCAATCATTACTACGTTAGTGATTTCAATCTTAATGTATTCCCAATACTTATTGCCTTGTGCCAGACACATCTCAATAGCTAAACTGATCATCTCGCAATCAGTACTACCGTGGTCAGTTCGATTTTCATGACACGCTATACTTGTGGTCTTGGGCCAGACAACTCCCCTTTGAAAATAGTCACGTCATCATTACTTTTTTAAATTACCAAGCCGGTTTAAGACGTAAGTGATCGTAGCTATCTACAACTTCGTTTTCTTGATTATCTGTGAAAATATCTGTGATAGAAGTGTTGCTTTCACCACTGTTTTTTTTTAATTCATAGTAGACTTCTAAATTAACCACTACACAAAGCTAGTGAGCTCAGTCTACCCTACTATTTCCTCATATTTCTTCATATTTCTACATTTTAAATAATTCTTTTCTAAATGGACAGATGAAGTCAGAGTTTTTTTTGTTTTTTTTTTTTTAGTGGATGGTTGCGATCTTTAAGTCAGATGGACTACGATTAAGATGTTGCACACTAAAATTACTTTACGTCATTTAAACAGTGGTGGCAAACGATTTTCGGGGGACTGGCTCCTATCTCCTCGTCTGCGACAGGCAGGTGCAATTATGTTTGGGGGACTAACATTAGTGGGTTAGCAACAGTTATTTTACTCATCTTAGGTTTGACACAAGGCCACATGTATGACGCACCAAGTGGGGATCGATCTGTTTAGTAACAATCAGTAAATTGAACTTTTGTTTTTTTAGATTTATTATCCAAAATTTGATTTTAAATACGCATTTTTTCTTTTTTTACTTTCCACCTGTATTTATTTTCTGGAATGAAACCTATCGACCTTTTTAGCATATGAGATTTTTTTTAAGTTTTAGAATTTAATGTTAAAGTAATGAATTTAGACAAGTGATACAACTCGGCTCAATGTCATTGTCATATATTAGACCAAAAAGACAAAAAATTAACATTTATTGATTATAGTTTACTTTGATATCAGACCACAAGTAAATGGCATGCAGTAAGAATCGAACACACTACGAATAGCCAAGAAGACAAGGTCGCAAACCATTAACCCACGTCAAGACACCCTCAAGCCCTGGTAGTCTATGTGATTTAATATGAGCATGAACGGTATTTTAACGAAACAAACTGCAAGTTAACCTACTGGATAGGGTGATAGTTGCATATCCAACATACGAATTTAAAACATCACAATAAGGAGGCACCTGTAAAAATCGAACTGAGTAGCTTGTTAATAGTAAATTTATTGTGGCAATATGCTGGAATAGACACTGCACTCAAATTTCACCCAGACCGTCAAAGGAAGCCGGGTGTACCAGATGGTAGACCTAGGGTTAATCCTAACCACCGAATGCAGAAGTACATGACCGCACATCTGCATCCGGTATTGCAGCTTGAGAAGGAGAATATCGGACAGATGAAATTAAGAACAACCACCCCAGAGAGGGTTTAGGCCAATAATTCCCAACGTGGGCGCATGCCTCGCCAGTGGGACATGGTAATATTTTGGTGGGGCATGCGTATGATGTGCACCCTTCTTTCTGATCTAAAACAAATTGATTTTTCAATATGGCTGATGCAGCCAATGCTAGTGGATATTTCTGATGCAGTACCAAGAAGAACTCTTGGAGATGCAAAATGATGAATCTGTTAAAACTTTATTCAATATAAAAAGGAGTGATGGCATGGCTTTGGGATGAGACAGTAACTAAATACTCAAATTCCACCACCGCTGCAAGAAATTTGTTGTTACCATTTCCATCTTCATATTTAGCTGAATATGGCTTTAGTGCTGTAAATGATTTATATTTGAAGAAAATAAATCGACTGGTTTATCACTAAACGAGGAGACTTGAGGCTTAAGCTGACTAAATTGGTGCCTAATATAAAATCTATCTGTAGCAGGCATGACGCATAAGGATCTCACTGTAATTTTGTAATGAGCTCAAATTTCATTTTGCATTATCATTTCATGATTAAAATGATCAAAGTATATTACAGAATAAACTTTCATTCAAATATTTTATATTTCTGCCTTTCAGTTGTCTGTTATATGTTTTGAAACTACAGTGTAACCCGGATATAAGAGAGTTGTCGGGACCGGAGAAGGAGTCTCTTATATCCGGGTTTCTCTTATATCCGGGTTTGGTCTATTTTATATACATTAACACACGCTCTAATTTGGGACCAGATAAAATCTCTCTTATATCCGGTTTTCTCTTATATCCGGATCTCTTATATTTAACTGTCTTTTTGTTTTTTAATTTTTCTCTTTCATGGGCGTCATGGTCTTTGGGGGCTTGTTTAGAGGCCAAGTTAATGGCCTTTTAAGCTTCCTTCACGTTAATTGCATTATAATTTTGAATGTATAAGAATTAAATATTACGGGGGGGAGACACCAGAATTTTAGAAATACCAAAGTGGGGCATGACCCAAAATCGGTTGGGAACCACTTGCTTAGGCATTCTCGGAACACGAAAGACAGAGAATGTCAACGTGTCAGATCTGAGGGAGGTCGCATTCCATAGACAGGCTGAAAATAACTGACAAAATATTGGAGTGAATAAAAAATATTAAGTAATAAACATACAAGTTTCGTGTTATCACTTAATCAGTACCCCACTCTATTGCGTTATAGTAGTGGGATACCATATGGTTTGGGTTATTTTGTTTTACGGCATAACAACACCTCAATG